AGCTCCGCCTCCCGGGTTTACGCCATTCTCCGTCTCAGCCTCCCGAGTAGCTGGGACTACAGACGCCCACCACCTCGCCCGGCTAGTTTTTTGTATTTTTTAGTAGAGACGGGGTTTCACCGTGTTAGCCAGGATGGTCTCGATCTCCTGACCTCGTGATCCGCCCGTCTCGGCCTCCCAAAGTGCTGGGATTACAGGCTTGAGCCACCGCGCCCGGCCTTCTCTTTTGTATAATAATATATAGAATTACAGTTAAAAAATCAAAGTTGATGAATTATATTTCTGTAGTTGTTTAAAATCTTTACAATTATTTTTATCCTACTTCTTATTTTATTTTTTATTGTTTATTTATTTATTTATTTTTTCCAGAGACAAGTTCTCACTATATTGCCCAGGCTGGACTGGAACTCCTGGGCTCAAGCTGTTCTCCCACCTCAGCCTCCCAAGTATCTGGGACGGCAGGTACTCACCACTGCCATCTCTTTATTTCTTATAGGCATTATCTTTGTACTTGTGCTCAATCCAAAAGATAAATATGACATTCTCTGTCTTTCCATAAAATAATCCATTCTAAATCCAAATGAATTTTGGATTGCTTGCTGGTTTGTGATTTTTATGGAATATAATATTTGTTCACTTGATCTAAAAAATTAAGAGTTGGCCATTAATGTTCTACAAAAAAAACCAGGTTTATCAGATTATTTGTAGCACCCTGTTCCTCTTAAGCTACATTTACTTAAATACTTGAATTTGAGAAAATTTTTTACTATGTAATACATTCACATGGTTAAAAAATTTTAAAGGCACACGTAAGTAGTCTTACTCCTCCCCATATTTCTCTACCCTGATAAGATATCTGGATGTACCGTAGTTTGTTTAACCAATCCCCTTGTAAATGAGCATTCGAGTTACTTCCAGCTTTTCACTATTACAGACAATGCTGCAGTGAGTAGCCTTGTATATCATTTCACATGTATTCAGTTATAGAAACATTCCCAGAAGTGGGAAGCTGAATTCAGGGTGCTAAATTGGCATTCGTAGGTGCTGTAACATTTTGAACTTCTACATGAGCAGTGAGTGAGAGAATTATTTGCCTCTGAATAGTAGTGTTTGAGAAACTTTCTAAACCTCTATAGATAAAGGAAATAGAAGCAGAGTTTGTCCACTCAACTCATGATGGGACTGAGTCTGGGACTTGGTTTGTAATTTAAAATTTAGTGTTGTTTCCAACAGGCTATACTGGAATTGCTGTCTTAAAGTTAAGACATGCTGGTAAAATAATAAAAGTTGTTAGCTGACAAAGTGATATTAAAGGAGATCCTCCCCATTTTGTTAGTGTCTGTAAATTCATGTATCTGTATTTTGTGAGTTTTGTGGTCAGAGAAGGAAAGCATGAATAAATAGAGTAATTTTCTATACTCACATTTGGGTAAAATGAAGGTGGGATATGCAAGTTTACACTTACAGTCTCTGCAGCCCATATACGTGTTCTGGTTCTGGGGTTGTTTTTATATTCTCTGCATGGAGACTGGCAATGTCAACATCACATGAGTACCACCTGACTCTGGTTACCTCATCTATTTTAATTGTTTGGTCTTTTTTGTTTGCTTGTTTTTAACTGCTTCTTGCAGGGCTACCCCATAGGAGTGTGCCCAGAATAGCCTGTTTTGTCTTTTAGTTCTGCAACATCAGAAGACAAAGAGTAAATATTATGTGTGCATGAGAGATGCTCTTAAAAAGTGGTTCATTTTACCTTCAGTAAGAGGCCTAGTTTCTTGATGCACAACTTTTCTGTTTGTTTTACAGTGGAAGATAGATGATAAGCCTGTAAAAATTGACAAGTGGGATGGATCAGCTGTGAAAAACTCTTTGGATGATTCTGCCAAAAAGGTACTTTCTTGAGGAGGGGTTGGTTAGTATCTATACAGCTGATGGCCATCTCTCCTGGAAAATCTTTTCCTTTTGTAACTTGGAGTGACCTTAGTTTTCAGTGTTAGAAATTGAGTCAGAAAGCAGTTTCTAAAATTTCTCACAGAAAAAGTCAGAAGAACATTTTAGCTGTGGGAAAAGTTGAGGAGTTTAAAGTTTTTATATGAGGGATTGATGAACTTTTTCTCTTGGTTCTTTATAGAAGACTTGAGTCTTATTTGTTTGGTGTGGTAAAATCCCAACTGGAGGGAACTTCTTGGTAATTCATAGATTCTTTTATCATGGAAATCAAGAATAAAAGCAGATACTGGGAAGGAAGTATTCCTATTAGCTTGATTCCTTCTTTTTCTCACCAGGTACTTCTGGAAAAATACAAATACGTGGAGAATTTTGGTCTAATTGATGGTCGCCTCACCATCTGTACAATCTCCTGTTTCTTTGCCATAGTGGCTTTGATTTGGGATTATATGCACCCCTTTCCAGAGTCGAAACCCGTTTTGGCTTTGTGCGTCATATCATATCCTTTATGCCCAGGTTTGTTTTCTAGTGACCATTTTAAAAAATCTGCTGATGCTTCTCCCTACAAAAAACAAAACAGACTTTCATGTTAGGGCTTGCTAATGTTAGAATTTAATATTATGAGCTGTGATGTTTATCTAGTAAACATCTATCATTTTATATAGTAACTGTCATTGATATTTTATGTTTAGTATGGTTATTTTATCGTAATTCATTTTTGTTATTAATGTAGAGGTTATTATCCTAATATGAGCACTTAATAGCAAAACACATAGTAATCGTGAACCCAGCTCTTCTCATTTCTAGCCCAGAACTTTTCCCATTAGACGTGGCTGCTTCAAATTAGGAAAGGAACTGATTTTGGAGACTCAGATCTGTATCAGGTTTACTTGAAGCTGAGGAGCTGAACTGGAAATTAGCATGAGACACAAGTGTGACTTGTATTATAGTGGAATTAAGAACTTATTCTGGAGCTAGAGAATGTGGGTTTGAAATCCAAGGTATTTGTGATCTTGTGCTAATGAAAATTTACTTATTTTTGAAATGATTTGAATACCACTCATTTATAAATATGGGTAGCATTCAGAATTATCATGAAGATTAAATGAGAGATTTTATGTTGTATTTGATATATAATCATTTCCTTTCCCCTCTTTTTTATGATAAATATAAGATCATGATCGTTGCCTACCCAGTTGATTTTTTTTTCTCAAGAAGTTGAATATAAAGAACTTAATTAAGGCCGGGCACAGTGGCTCACGCCTGTAATCCCAGCACTTTGGGAGACCAGGGCGGGCGGATCACGAGGTCAGGAGATCAAGACCACCCTGGCTAACACGGTGAAACCCCGTCTCTACTAAAAATACAAAAAATTAACCGGGCGTAGTGGCGGGCGCCTGTAGTCCCAGCTACTCCGGAGACTGAGGCAGGAGAATGGCGTGAACCCAGGAGGCGGAGCTTGCAGTGAGCCGAGATCACGCCACTGCACTCCAGCCTGGGCAACAGAGTGAGACTCCGTTCCCCGCCCCCCCCCCAAAAAAAAAAAAAGAACTTAATTATACTTCACTATTAAAACAGATAATTTTGGTAGGCAGTTTACTTTTTTAAACAATGTTACCACTACCTAAATTTTTTTTTTTTTTTTTTTTGAGACAGGGTCTTACCCTGTCACCCAGGCTGAAGTACAATGGTGTGATTATGACTCACTGCAGCCTCAGCCTCCTGGCTCAAGCAGTTCTCCTACCTCAACCTCCTGAGCAGACAGGCACATGCCACCATGCCTACCTAATTTTTAAATTTTTTACAGAGACAAGGTCCCACTATGTTGCCTAGGCTGGTGTCAAAACTCCTGGGCCCAAGCAGTCCTCCCAAAGTGCTGGTATTACAGGCATAAGCCACTGTGCCCAGCCAACCTGAAATATGTTTTAAAACTTCATGTTGGAGATTTATCTTCAGAGGCAGTTAGCAAACCTCTAATAAAGCAGATCCTAGTCAAAAATTGTATTATCCAGTTTGCCCTACATAGCCCCCAGAAGTGGTACCAGGTGATCCTTGACTCCTTCCAGTCATCAGATTAATCATCCCAGTGTGAATTTTTCACCGTTAAGGCAGTTCAAAAGAATAATAGTCTATAGGTTCTAGAGACAGTTCCCAGGGGAATTCCAAAGCGATTTGAAAATGATAGCAATCTTGTTACAAACATCTGGCCTCCCAAGAGAACTACCTTGATGGTAATTCATTTGTTTGGTTATATTTGTTTAATAAAACAAGGTCTTATTTTTAGTCATATCAGTTTTATTTATAATAGTAGGGACTACATTATAAATATCTTCTGTGGCATCGTGGCTCATGCCTGTAATCCCAACACTTTGAGAGGCCAAGGTGCGCGAATTGCTTGAGCCCAAGAGTTCAAGGCCAGCCTCAGCAACGTGGAGAAGCCCTGTCTCTACCAAAAATACAAAAATTAGCTGGGCGTGGTGGTGCATGCCTGTAGTCCAGTTACTTGGGAGGCTGAGGCACAAGAATCACTTGAATCCAGGAGGCGGAAGTCACAGTGAACCGAGATCCACTACTGCACTGCAGCCTGGGCGACAGAGCAAGACTCTGTCTCAAAATAAATAAAGTAATTAGATAAATTAAAAATAAATTAGCTGGGTGTGGTGACGCACACCTATAATCCCAGCTACTCAGGAAGCTGAGATGGGAGGATCACTTGAGCCTGGGATGTTGAGGCTGCAGTGAGCTGAGATCGTGCCACTGTACTCTAGCCTGGGTGACAGAGTGAGACCCTATCTCAAAAAAAAAAAAAATTCTTCTGTATCATAGACTACATATATCCTTCATCTCTAAATCTCATGATAATTCTAAAATATCAGTATTATCCCAGTTTTAAAGGTAAGGATACTAAGACTTGGGCAAGGAAGTTATTTGTTATGATTATACTGATTAAAGGCCAAGATTTAAATCTAGGATTATCTCTACTCTGAAGTCCATATACTTTGCACTATATTTTCCTGCCTTTCCTGTTCATGAAATTTATCTTTTTTAACTCTTTTTTAATGGAATGCTTCATGAATTTGCCTGTCATCCTTGTGCTAGGGCCATGCTAATCTCTGTATCATTCTAATTTTAGTATATATGCTGCTGAAGCGAGCACTGTTCATGAAATTTATTTTTATTTTATTTTATTTTTATTTTTTGAGACAGGGTCTCACTTTGTCGCCCAGGCTGGAGTGCAGTGGCACGATCTTGGCTCACTACAACTTCTGCCTCCCGGGTTCAAGTGATTCTCCTGCCTCAGCCACACAAGTAGCTGGGATTATGGGCCTGCACCACCACATCCAGCTAAATTTTTTTGTTTTTTGTTTTTTGAGATGGAGTCTTGCTCTGTCACACAGGCTGGAGCACAGTGGCACGATCTCGGCTCACTGCCACCCTGCAACCTCCACCTCCTGGGTTCAAGCCATTCTCATGCCTCAGCCTCCTGAGTAGCCAGGACTACCGGCATGTACCACCATGCCCGGCTAATTTTTGTATTTTTAGTAGAAACATGGGGTTTCACCATATTGGCCAGGCTCGTCTTAAACTCCTGACCTCAAGTGATCTGCCCACCTCAGCCTCCCAAAGTGCTGGGATTACAGGCGTGAGCCACCATGCCTAGCCTTAATTTTTGTATTTTTAGTAGAAATGGAATTTCCCATTGTTCCCTTTTGGCCAGGCTGGTCTCAGACTGCCTGCCTCGGCCTCCCAAAGTGCTGGTATTATAGGTGTGAGCTATCGTGCCCAGCCTTGTTTCTGAAATTTAAATGGCACAGTGTACACAAAGCTCTCATGCTAGTTTTTGGCAAACTGTAAGTGCTTATTATAGTACTTAATACTGTCAAAAACAATATAATAATAAGTCTATGTGCATACAGGAAGTAATTGTAGTACTATTTGACATACTCTCCTATAGTGAACTATTTGGGTCACTTTTCTTCTCTTCTTATAACCCTTAAAATCAGTTGAACATGGTCAAGTCCACTGGGACTATTAGTTGTTTTTTATAAAGAAATAAGCACTATTATGACAAAGTCTTAACAAACTAAGTATCTTATTATACATGTTGTCTTTGAACATAAAGATGAGAGCTAGTTTATGCTCTGTACCTTTTTCTTTTCTTCCATTTTGAGATGTTTGCAGAATTAACCAGAGAGAACCTTGTTTCTCTTGGTACATAAACATAAGGATGAAAATGAAATAGCTAAATTTTCAGTGTTTTTGCAGCAAGACAAAGCTGTCTTCTTTAGGACTATCATTATGAAAGTTTTTATATCTCTTGCTTGTCAATTTGTGTTACTTCTCTTTTATGTTTGGGTATTTTTCCCTTAACTTTATTTGAACCTATTTTGTGATGATGGGGATTCTGACCATTTATACCTCATATAAGGAGAAGAGCATCTTTCTCGTGGCCCACAGGAAAGATCCTACAGGAATGGATCCTGATGATATTTGGCAGCTGTCCTCCAGTCTTAAAAGGTATGACTATCTTCACAGATTTTTCAATCCTGGTGTTGGATTTGCCCTGGCATGTTATCATTATCAACAGAAGACTTATTATGTGCCTACTCTACATGGATCATAGGGCTAGTCATATAAAATGAAGAAAGGAGTGTGAATGATCTAGAAGGTTTGTCCTAGCTCTGTAGTTCTGAGATTGCATTATCACAGAAATGCTCTGAGGATAAACTGTGGGAGAAAGTGCTTTGGTGGAAGAATGAAGAATGATTCTTTTTCCTGTGGCCAGTTAACAGAGACGATTAAGTGTACAAAACTATAAAGGCCAAAGATGAGAGATCAGTTATCTTTGAAGAACTCCATTAGCTTCTGTGTCTTCTATGATCCTGTCTTCTCTCCATGAATACAGTCAAGAATCTCTGGAGCAGTGCACTGGGCAACTCAAAAAAAGCACAATCTACAGTCTATTTCTGACCAGTGTTAGGTATAACTTTGTGCAGCTGACACACATGTGTTTTGTAGATACCAAGAACTACGTTCGTGTTCCAGTTCAGTTTCTTTCTAGCTGTATAACTTTGGGTAAATCATATAAATTATCAGGTTTAGTGGGGTCAAAAATGATGTCTAGAGTTTCTGGGAAGATGAAATACCAATTATAATAATAGCAAATGTTTATTGAATATTTACTATATGTTGGGTATTCTGCTAAATGCATTATCTCATTTAGATTTTAGAACACTCATTTTATAGATAAGAATACAGGCCCAAAGGTTAAATCAACTCTTCCAGTATCATATAGCCCAAAAGTGGTAGAGCAGGAATTCCAGCCCAAGTTTGAAACCAGAATTCATACTCGTAGTCACTATCTTAAAAACATATTATACTTAACTAGTGCATAATAGCCCCACAAATTATAAGTACAATTATTTACATATGAAATTAAGTGTAGCATCTGTGCTGTACAGGCTCTCTCATTGCCAACTTGTAGAGGCGCCTATGAGAAAGGGAAGCAGACCTTCATTCTGTTGTTGCAGCTGAGTCCTTGCTTATCTCCTAACAGGGGCTTCGAGCTGCCCTTTGGCCTCAGCCATCATAATCTGCATCCTCTACCAGGCCACTGAAGCAGAGTTGCAGAATTCTAAAACTTAGCGGCATTGTAATTTCATTATTTTTATTCTGACTTTTGTATTTTTTAATAACTTTTATAAAAGTTAATTCACCTACCATACATTTCACCCATTTAAAGTGTACAGTTCACAAGTTTCTAGTGTATTTACAGATATTTGCAACCATTATTACAGTCAATTTTAGAGCATTTTCATCACCTCAAAAAAAAAAAAACCTCTGTACTCTAGCTAATCACTTCCCTATCCTTCCGCTTCCCTGAGCCCTGGGCAACCACCAGTCTACTTTCTCTGTTCTCTCTTATGGACATTTTATATGAATGGAATCATACAATATGTGGTCTTTTATAACTAGGTTCTTTCACTTAGTGCCATTACTTCCTATATATACTGCACACGAGGTTCATTCATGTTGTAGCATGTACCAGTACTTTATTCCTTTCTTTGGTCAAGCAATATTCCATTTTGTTTATCCATTTGTTAGTTGACAGACATTTGGGTTGTTTCTACTTTTTGGCTATTATGAATAATGTTGCTATCCATATTTGTGTACATGTTTTTAGGTAGACATGTTTTCATTTCTCTTGGGTAGTACACCTAGGAGAAGACTTACTAGATCGTATGGTAACTCTTTTTGTTTGAGGAACTGCCAGACTGTTGTCCAAAGTGGCTGCCCTATTTTACAATGTCACTAGCAGTGTACAAGGGTTCTGATTTTTTCACGTTTCCTACTATTTTTACCAACTGCCATATTTTTGGTGGAGTGGAAGTGTGAACGTTCTTGCTTTGTTCCCCACTTTCTGCTGATGTCTTCCCCCTCCCCCACCTCACAGACGGATTTAGTAGCTTAACAGTGGCTGATTCTGATGTCTTATTCCCACTGCCAGGTCACGTGATGTGAAAATGGCAATGAAAGGTTTCACAGACTACCAGTTGCCATGTGCAGACAGCACAAGCTATGTGACTCTCTCGCAAAAAGTGATTTTGTGACTCCCCAGCACATTCATTATACAGTCTAAACTCCTTCAGCATATGAAGTGTTACAGCATTCATCCCCTAGTGACATCTCCAGCTTTCTTTTATGCCCCTCTCAAAATCCATTCTCTCACTCTGGCAATATTATGGAATTTGCAAGATGCTAAGTTATCCAAGTTTCCCAGTGACCCCGTACCTTTAAACATGTTCTTCTCTCTGGCTTAGCTATCTTTCTGTAACCTGGCTCACTCCTACTTCCAAGAAGCCTTCCCTGACATGCCTTAGTTTAAATTAGGTGGTCCTGGTTATTCTTTTTTTTTTTTTTTGAGATGGAGTTTCACTCTTGTCACCCAGGCTGGAGCACAATGATGCGATCTTGGCTCACTGCAACCTCCATCACCTGGGTTCAAGCAATTCTCCTGCCTCAGCCTCCTGAGTAGCTGTGATTACGGACCCACGACCACACCCAGCTAATTTTTGTATTTTTTGTAGAGATGGGATTTTACCATGTTGGCCAGACTGGTCATGAACTCCTGACCTCAAGTGATCCCCTAGCCTCCGCCTCCCAATGTGGTGGGATTACAGGCATGAGCCACCACGCCCAGCCCGTCCTAGTTATTCTTAAAAGCATTTTATGCTTACCTCTGTTAGTTACCACATGGAGCTATAATTATTTACTGTCTGTGTCTCCTCCTGGGCCTGCCCCCCTCCTCCAAAGCGTGAGCTCCTTTACCATTCACTATACACTAGAAACCTAAGCCCAGGTGGGACTTTCTCACTTACCCCTTGGTAACCAGACCCAGCCGAGGGCCTGGCGTGGCATGTTTTGTTATGTGAATGATTGACGTTCATCTGAGCTGGGCAGCAGCCATGACCTCCTAATTAGTCTCTGCCTGCAGCCAAGTCATTGTCAGCCATCCACAAAGTCCCCTATAACCTAGCCATCTCTGTGAACATTCCCTTCTCTTTCTTGCCCTAAGTGAAACTGGACCATAACCCCTGAGGACGTAATTCCTCTGCAGACTGCAAGTGGTGGCTGATGTTTCTCTCACAGCCTTCATTACTCTGGTACTACAGGTAGAGATGGGTCTCCCCTTTGCAGCTTCCAATGCCTCCTCTTCCCTAAACCGCCCCCCGCCCTTTGAATGCATGTCATCACATTGTGCCACTTCTATGCCTCTTCCTTGCAGTTAAATACAGACCTGCTCTTTTGAAGATAATTCCTGGCTCATTGGCACTCTCTAACATTTGTCCTTTCATAAGTCTTGGTGATTGCCATATTCACATAGATGATTATTCTAGTAATTTGGCCTCTCAGTTTTACTTCCTTCTTCCCATTATCCTGTTTTCTATCATGTCTTAAACACTGACTTTCATAGACATACCCTAGTAGACCTTGCAATTACTAAGAACAAACTACGTTCAATAATTTCAGTTTTAAGTGTCCCACCCTGACCATTGCTTCCTGTTATTCTAATTTATTTCCTTCTAGTTCTCTTGTCACAGCATTTCTTCTGCCCCAGCGGTATCTGTAACCCACTTCACTTCCTCCTTACCTGGC